TATGTATATATATATATATATATATATATATATATATATATATATATATATATATATATATATATATATATATATATATATATATATATATCTTATACTGCTGAGTTAGGTGAGCGTGATGATGTCAAACTCACCTAACGTCAAACATACAGCCTGACTCGCAGTGGAGTGCTGCTACATCGACTGAGGTTTTGGTATGGGTCAGCAACCTTTTCATTCATTATTCTTCGTTTTCCCTCATCGTTTTCTAAAAACGCTCACTTAATTTAGGCGAGCAAAAAAAGTGAGCAATTGCGCATATAAATATACTATAGTAGATATATATATATATATATATATATATATATATATATATATATATATATATTTATATATATATTTATATAAATCAGTAGAAAATCACTCAGCAAAATTTTTTCTCATTTAACACTGTGTTTCATCAATAAAGACTCATCAGAAATGCATTTCTGATGAGTCTTTATTATAAACACAGTGTTAAATGAGAAAAAATTTTGCTAAGTGATTTTCTACTAATTTGTAATTGCTCTGTTCTTTTAAGAACATTGAGCACTCTTTTTGTAGAATACATTTTAAATTGTTTATATATATATATATATATATATATATATATATATATATATATATATATATATATATATATATATATATATATATATATATATATATATATATTTATATATATATTTATATAAATTAGTAGAAAATCACTCAGCAAAATTTTTTCTCATTTAACACTGTGTTTCATCAATAAAGACTCATCAGAAATGCATTTCTGATGAGTCTTTATTATAAACACAGTGTTAAATGAGAAAAAATTTTGCAAAGTGATTTTCTACTAATTTGTAATAGCTCTGTTTTTTTAAGAACATTGAGCACTCTTTTTGTAGAATACATTTTAAATTGTTTATATATATATATATATATATATATATATATATATATATATATATATATATATATATACACCCAGTAGGCACGCGTCCAGACGTCCGACGGACGTCCCCCAGACAAGCAGGCCCACTGGGTATATATCAGTGACGGATCCAGAACAAGGAGGAAGATAGGCGCATCTCCCCCCACTAGAGTTTGAAAATCCTAAAATAACTTAGAAATTGAGGACCTCTTTTTTTTTTTTGAAGACGCAAATGTGGTATGTGTATAAATAAACAGCAAAATGTGTACAAAATAAACAGCAATCAAACTTTTTTGATTTCTGAATAAGCTAAACTATATAACACAGTTATCAATATCACCTTTCCCATTTTTAATTTATTTAACTTTAGTCGTCATTACATGACGATATTTATTGCATTTTATTGAACTATCGATTTTTATAATTTTTGTTACCTGTTTTTTCACTTAAATAGGCTACGGGCAGGTAAATACGGCAAGCTTTCGACAGATAGTCGAAAACTTGATTTTACTTTATTTTACACACACTCACACACACACAGACGCACGAACGTAATCAAAAAAACAACAATACTTTAGCTAAAACTAAAATAAATGAAAACTAATTTAAATGAAATCGAAGAACTTCTCCTGAATCATCTAGCAGCATCCCGCTAATAATTTTTTCATATTCACTCTCACTAGATTTTTCACTATTAACGCGGGATTGATATGAAATTATATCTTCTACTCTTATTACTAGGTTCTTAGGGGGTTGATGTAGATATTCTTTATGTGCAATGATTTCGCCCGACTTATTTCGAAATTCCAATAACCGAATTCCGTTATTTGTATGAAACATAAGCGGTTGAGGAGCATGAGTTTCTTCGTAGCTAAAAAAACAATAAAAATTAAATAAAAAAAAAACTTTTATTACAAAATTAATTAATTAAAATATTATTAAATTAAAAATAGTTTCAAGGTAAGATAATATTTTACTTTATTTGAACTTAAATCAAATTACTCATCCATATTTTTAAGTTCAAAATTCAAAATTCAATTCTTTAAAATTCAATTTTTTAACTTCAAAAATCAATGTATTAGCTTACTCATCCAGTTTTAAGCCAATACTGCCAACATATTTTCCAGCACTTCCGAATATCGTGTTAACCCAACGGTTTTCAGGTATTTTGTAATGTATAACGTTACCTCCGGCTCCACCCAGCCAGCGTGACGACTTATAATTAGATGAAATCTGAATCCCGTCAACCCATGCTCCTGATCTCAACGTGATAGATGTGATTTTTTCATTTAAAGCGAGGTCGAACCTTGATCTTTTACAAAATGCGGAAGACCCATAAATTTGAGAGTATATTTCATTGTTATCTAAAAGCTTACCTATGTAAAAATATATGCATTATTTTAGTATTTTATTATTTATAATGCATATATTTTTACCTATGTAAAAATATGTGCATTATTTTAGTATTAATTATTTTAGTAATTTATATTCATATTTACCTCCGATAAATTGAATTCCGCATAAATAAGTGTCCCAAAATAAAACAATGCCCTTTAAATACAAGTTGTGCTTATTTAACCAAGTTTTTGAGTCAAAATCAATCTGACTGGTCTGGGCACTAGGCCCATTATTACCAAATGGCCCTACTTTTCCAGGTACCATTAACACTGGCGTTAACTCAGACAAATAAACTTTATCACACACTAGATCTGTGGCCGAGGCACTGTGTGAGTTAAACCATCTAGATAATTAGAATTTTTTTTTAAGAAAATTATTTTCAAAAAATATGTAAACTACTTTATACCAAAGAGGTATAAATAGCTGGAGGAAGAACGAAGTAAAAATTTGAAGTAACATAATTTTTAATAAAATCTTTGAAGTAACATAATTTTTAATAAAATAGCGTAGTAATCATTATTTAAAGTTAACCAATCACATTCCACTTGTTGAAAAAAACTATCCTATGATATTGTTTTATATTGCAACCAAAGCATTGCAAACATAAAACTTAGAATAATTGGTAAACAATATTTACTAATTTAGAGTTAGTTCGTAATTAGATTTTTATGTTATGTTTTTTCAAACAACTATTGAAAGTTTAGATTAAAATTAATTATTAAAATCTCTAGATTAGAATTTGAATTATTTGTGCCGATTTTTGAAAAAAGGTACTTTATATTTTGCTGTATTTAAAATATGGCTATCTGTTTCTAAAACCGGTAAAAATATAAGATACAAAATAAAATCCTGGAGGGATATAATAAGTTCCTTGCCGAAAAAACATTTTTTAAGAAAGTACCAAACCTATAGCTAAACGGGGAAGCAAAGTTCAAACAGGTAGTAAAGGTTGGATAATTATGTCTACTATTTAGGTACCGTAAACCGATAATACTTTGAACAGCAAGATACAAATACTTAGAATAGCAGGGTATACAAATCTATTTTTTTTTTCAAGTTGTAACATGAAAAGAAATTAAATGAAACTGTTCAAACCTTAAACACCAAAGTATAAAATATAGTTTATATTTTATTTATTTAAAGTTTAACTTTGTTTATTGGTTGTTATTTTTCCTTAAAAAGTTAATGAAATATTTCGGATATTTTACTCAAAAAAAATTGTCAGAATACTTTGTACAGTCTCAGCTAGTGTATCAGCTTGTTATGTAAGTTACATAATTTGTGTTTATAAATTTACTAAGCATGTAAAATCTAAAGAAAATTGTTAACCTGATATAGTTATGCAATCTCTCTAATATATAGGGGAAAGCGGGGCAACATGGCGAATGGAGCAAGATGGGTTTTCATATAACAAATCAACAAAAAATCTTAAAGTTAAGAAAAAAAGAAACTGTATTTGTATCTTGAATTTTAAAAAACCAATTGGTTTTTTAAATATTATTAACCCAAATTTCATGCGCATAAGTTTACTTTTTGCGCTTAAAAAAAAAATTCCTCAGTTTCGGTTTCTCATAATGGATGGTGCCCTTCAAGTTTAACTTCTTTAGAAGTAGTTTTTTGCAACTTGTGTTTATTTTTTTGTTACTTTATTTAGAGTTATTGGTAGTTTTTTTATTTTATAAAATTGGAGGCAAAAATTGCATAAAAGTCATCTTGCCCCGGTTACGTGACTAGATGACAAATTTGTGAACTTTTTATTTTAATATTTATTTCAAATTGTTATATCTAGAAACTGAAAATTCATGAAAGTAATGAGTCATTATAATAACATAAACATACTCAGAAAGTATTATTGCTTCAAGACTGATAGTTTTGCAATAACTCAGGGCTTTCAAAACGTTCACCATGTTGCCCCCCTTTCCCCTATATATATATATATATATATATATATATATATATATATATATATATATATATATATATATATATATAATATATATATATATATATATATATATATATATATATATATATATATATATATATATATATATATATATATATATATATATATATATATATATATATATATTTATATAGTAGTAAAAGCAAAACTTTATTCACGTATTTTTGAGCAATTGCTTTTTCTATGAGCATTTACTTTTTAGCTTCTACTTTTACTCAAAACAATTGCTTGTGAGCAATTGCTTTTTTTATTCATCTAGCCTAATGCTTTTTATTCACCCGGCCTAATGATGAGGCCTAAATTCACCCGGCCTGAACAAATAACTTTTTGCGTAATAGTTAAAGTAATAAATTTTTGTGTAATAGTTAAAATAAAACATCTTAATAACTCATTAATAAATGATTTATTAAGTTTATGTGGTATATCAAACAATAGAGAATTTGAAATAATAAATAGTGATATAAATAACTCCATACCGCCAAAAATGGACTTAATGCAATTTCATTGTATACCATAGATATTATACTGAATACCAGTTTTCAAATTTTATGGTAACATTAGTGGTTTAATACAAAAAATTATTATATGTTCACTAGGTGCAAGTTGCCACTTTGTATAATAAGGTTTAAAAACTGAATTCTAAAACATATAGAAAATCCATAGTTTTTACAAATATGCACAGATTAGCAATTGTACAACATGTTATGTTACGTCAATCATGTTTAAAGCCTCTGGTTATGTTTATAAAGCTGATCATTTATGGACAACAAGAACTGAGAATGGAGCACTTAATGTACGATACAATCAAAGTCAGGGTGGTTTGATTCCAGAATTTTTTGACTGGTTTGTTATTGTTTTTTTTTTTGTCAAATTTCAGCTAAAGTTCCTATTAGTTACATTCTAAGCAATCTTTTTAGTGAAAAATTATTTGAATTTACAAAAGAAAATAATATCTTGTTGTGAAGAAAACAGTATCTTGTTCCATAATTGGTAACTCTAACCATTTTTTGCAACCTCTTGCATTTTATAGACCTCTTAAAAAATATTGGAGGAAAACACTTTTCATATTTACTTATAAACATTATATTCTTTAGATCAAAAGGCAATCAGCAGCTTAGTAGCTTTGTGGTTTTGAAAAAAATATGAGATTTACCCATTAGATGTAAGTATCATCCTCAATCATTTGCCAGATTAGAATGCCAGTTATAATATTAGATGTCAAGCAGCAGTTAATGTACTTTAACAATTGTGTCGTGTTGATGTCAAGGAAAAGAAGACTTAAAAAAAAAAAAAAATTACTTTTGACCGTGAAAAAATTTCATTTTAGGGTTTTTTAGGTTTGTTTTACTTGCATTGTATGAAAGTGAAACTAATGTAAATAAGACTTTTATGCTTGTCCTCTTAAAACATACCCATTAAAACAAAATAAAATACCAAATGGGTATTTTTTTATGAAATAATATTATACTACTTTAGCATTAATAAATTCATGTGAAACTAGACAGTTGTTTTTATTAAATTTTGAAACAAAACAATGCGTTTTTGAATAAATTTTGTTTTTACAGAATACGTATTCAAAGATACCCCATTTGTACGGTAACTTTGAATGATCAATTAAATTAATATTATACAAAATCCTTTTATTTAAATATTATTTTGAATTTGAATAATGTAAGAGTCAATCTTAGTCCCTATATTCATTTTATTAAATTTCAAATATTGTCAATAATGAAGGAAGATCAAGTTATAATATCTCGAAAACCTTCAAAGTAACCCCGGTTTACGGTATTCAAAAAAAGATTGTGTATTCAATGAAATAAACGGTATTCAAAAAACGATTTACCTAGATCATGATTTTTTTCCCCGGCGATTTTAAACAATTTTAGGCTTCGTTCTCCCTCACATTATAACATTTTGGTTATACAGTATAGTAAAGTATTTTGTTCAGTAGGTTGATTTTTAAATATAAAATTGATATTACATGAAGAAAATATAAATAGCATACTTATGATAGTTAAGGATGACAGCAGATGCTCGATGCCAATGAGCGCCATTGTACTTAGCCAAAAAACGTTCATTAGATAATGATGTACTTTGAAACTCATTCACTAAGTTATAATACATTAAGTTGATTAGTAAATAACATTCTTAACTAATTTATAAAAGTTTGTTTTTCAATTTGTAAAAAACCGACAACCACTACTAATATCATCAAGGAAGTATAGTTACAGAATACCACCTGTTGAACCTTCAACAACAATATAAAAACAATTCATGTCATCATGACCACGTGCCATAATACCAGACGGCGTGTGAGCTAGATCAAAGCAATGTCCAAGTTCATGAATTGCTGCTCCTAGACTAGTTGAGTAGTTAGCCCAATGTGTTCCTCTGTAAATAGAAGTTAGAAATTATTTGAATAGTTGGAATAAGCACAGTACGTAATGCACACCAAGACAGAAATGGTGCAAAGGTTGCAGTTATTTCCAACTTTAAATTTGAGGACGAAAAAATGGAAACCAAAAACACCTTGGGTCCCACTTTAACACCCAAATCCCACAAGAAAAATTATTTTAAAATTTTTTATAGTTGATTAAATTATGAGCGATTTTAAATTTTGATTAAAAAAGAATGTGTAATACAGTAAACTCCCAATAACTCGAACCCTCAATAATTCGAACTTCCAGAACTCTAAGTATTTTAAAATTCCCATAGAACCCCATTTCTCATAAAATTCATTCAATAACTTGAACATTTGATAAGTCGAACCAATTTTTTTGTGCCTTGGAGGTTCGAGCTATCGGGAGTTTTTACTGTATATAGAAAATAAATTGTAATAATTATGCAAATGATTGAGAGTATGTTGTAAATATGTTATAGAACATTCATCATCAAAAACATTTCTTATAAATATTAGATATTACCTTCCACAACTATCGTCAAACATGCACTTTCTGTCGATTAAAGTATTATCTGAAAATTTGAAATATATTTCTTCTATATACGTAGCCCAGGTATGAATGGAACCAGTTCCAAACAAGGCCATATTACCTCCACCGAGTGCAGCGTGACCGGTTACATATGACATAATTTTACCTATGGTGAAATTATTTTCTTCATTGGGTGCCTTGTAACGAGTACATGACATAAAACACAAATACTTGGTGTTTGGTTTATTGATTTTTCTAGTGATTTCTAAATGAAGAATATTTTATATACTATTCTTGGCATCTCCATATTTTGCAACTTTATTTGCAAAAAATTATAAGCTCGCCTTCTATAAAGTAAGAATAAAGTCTGTCAGGAGACATGGTTTGAGTTTCATTTATATCCAAATCGCTGTACAATATATCAACAACCACAACACCTTCATTAGTTTCATGCATTTCAAAAGTCTTTCTAGAAAACCCATGCTCGTGCATTGATTCCGCGAAAAAGGTCTGCATTAATCGTACGTTCAACTGAATCTTTTTGAGAGCTTCATCAACATTATTTTCACGTGATTTGTCAGGTGATATAAAAGATCCATCAGAATTTTTGCAAACAATATAAACGGGAAGAACTTTTCTGAAAAATAAAACGCACAAAAAGGACATAATTTCTTCGTAACAATAGATCATGATAAAAGCAAAAATTTAACTTTTTTTGTTAAACTACATGCAGAGCATTTGCTAGCTGAAGCCAACAATTTGATTGATCTATATTTAAAACAAATAATTTTTCTGCGATAAGAACTCAACATGCTTCATTTAAGAGCATAAGTAATGAAAAAATTTAGAATAATACAGTCAGATATTAAGTTTAAACATACTGCATTCTATTATTTTATTTACTAATAAAAACTGCTTTTATTGCTTAGGCTTAAATGTAAAACGATTTTTCTTACAAATAATATAATTTTTGCATTTAAATGAATAAAAGTTTAAAAATTAAATAGAAAATATAGACTTTACTATATCAGTATGCTTTTTTACGTATGCAATGGAAAATAACGTGCATAACTTATGCAATCGAAAATAATATGCATAACTTATGCGAATTATAATCGAAAATAACAAGCATATATTTTCGATTGCATCAATAAAAAAAATAATTCCAATTAAAATGAAAGTAAAATTACAGTGGTAATCTTACTAGTACTATGTCAATAAAACCATTTTTATAATCGTCGTAAAACGGTTATCAACATTGTTGCATAACAAACAAACAAAAATTATATTTTTTAAAGCATTTATTATCATCAATTATACCAACTATAACAGGGTTGTAAACAATGTTAAAACGACCAATATTACATTGGCCACACCATAAATTTCGTAAATAAAAATTTCTAAATTAAATTTTTAAATTTTTTTATTATCTATTTCTATTACCGCAATTTTATCATTGCTTTTTTTGTAGCTTATAAGCTGATCCTATTTGGGAGTGACGTAGCTTTAATAACAGTTTAGGAGTGACGTAAAGCATAATTTATACTTAAGCAAACGTCAAACAAAAGTTACAATGTTTTTGATCAACAAAACATAGTATTCTAATATTTGAGTTGTAGCATAAAGCTTAAACCTAGTTCATTGTAGTTAAAAAAACTATTAACACCTTGTTACCTCGGATTTTCAGGTTTAAGGTATTTAACCTTAATAGTCAATGGCACGCAATCTTCGTTGGTCAAATGAACTTCATTCAACCCGACTGCAAGCTCTGCATACACTTTAAAGTATCCATTTAGTACAGGCCACTTGCGAACAATACCAAGAGACAAGCAGCTTAACCACGAAGCTTTATTTGTGCACTCTCCATGAAGGTATATGAGTGGGTAAGTTACAGTAATTTCTGTTTCGGTCAAATCAAAGTTAAACAGTCTGAACATGGCAAAAATAATTTCTTATTTTCTACAAATATCAAAAACAAATTGTCACTTTAAATTTTAGACTAACAATAAATAATTTTGGTTAGTAAAAAAAATAAGTTTTATCTAAAACAGTAAAATAATACGAATAAAATAAACGATACAAGAAAAATAAGTGCAGATTTTTTCATATAAATAAATTTCTTTCTACTTAAGTATTGTGTTGTTTTTTGACTTTGTTTTAACTTTTTTACTTCTGTTTTTTTTTTTTTTTTTAATTACTATTTTTCTTAAGCATTATACAAAAATACTTTATAAGAATAAATAACATTGTAACATATAACTAGTTCGAACAACAACAAACACGATTAAAGAAAGAAAAAAGTTTTTATTTTACAAAAATCTATAAAAACATGCGTGTGTACATTTGCATAATGAAGTATAGTACTCAATATTATGAAAAACAAACAACAACATAGCTACTAAAAAATAATGATTTTCTTTGAATTACTTGTTGCTATAGTTATAAGTAATTAATATGAATTGGTCACTTTATATGTAGTAATATTCAAAGCTCAATAGCTTTGAAATAAATTTTTAGTATGTTTTTTTGTGAAACTAATCTTAAAAAAAAGAACAACAACAAAAATAAAAAAAATGAAATATTATGCAAACAACATTAGAGCTGTTATTATATTGCTTTCTAATGTTAATTTAAAATAATTAAAAAAATATTTTTAATATAGTGAAATTTGCTCATAGCGATTTGCTCTGAAAAACCAAAAAAAAACCAAAAAAAAAAACACAGATAAATTTAGTTATTATATCCTTTATCTTTCCAGTATAGAAAAAAAGATAAAAAGTTTGTAAAGACGGTAACATTAGAACCACGAAGAATTTTTGCTTTGCTGGAAATAATTTGATTGATTATTGGAAATACCAATAAGCTTTAATAAACTTTACTAAATTTTCTTGGGAAATATAGTACGCATAAATATCCACAAGTAAAGTTGTTTCGTTTTTTTTTTTAAGTTTTAAGGCTTTTAAACAAAAGGTTTCTTAGGTGACTTAAATATTGGTATAGAATGTTTAAAGATCGTTAAGATTGATACATGAACATATAAAATGTTTATATATAAAAATACTGATTTTTAAACAAAAAACCTAAAATCAAAAATCATTAGAAACTAAATAAAAAATTACTTTTAAATGTTAAAAAAGCATCAAAAAATGAAAATATTAACTAAAAAAAATCAAAAATTAAGACTAAGTGAAATATTTTTTTCAAAACCAATTCTAAAATCTACATTTCTATAAAATAACATAATACAAAACAAAACCCAGTCATAGCTATTCATAATTAACAGAACAGATTTACGACTGGTGTTCTAAATAAACAGAACAGGAAAAAATTTTTATTTACAATAAAAGTCTGCTTGAAAATTCTAAGTTTAAAATAGATATTTTTGTAAAAAAAAAAAAAAAAAAAGTAACAGCAAAATAGAAACAAGTCGTAAAAACAAGAAAAAAAAATTGACAATGAAATAGACAATATACTTATCAACAAGTTTTTTATAAAATAAATTGGCTTGATCTAAAGTTTTTTACAAAAAGACCGAAAGTCAAAGAAATTTGTATCAAAGACATTATTATACTGCAGTGATACCTCTTTATCTTGAATCTCAAGATGAAGTGGGTATTTGAATTATTAAAAAGTTGCAGTGTAGGTAGAAAAAATAACTGAATTTAAAAAATGTTATAACTGTTACAGTTATATCAAATATAACGTAAATTAAAACATACATCATGATAACGATGCACGACAATAGCTGTTTTTTCAATTATTATGTTTAATCCCCTCAAATTTTCTGTGATTACCTTGAAACAAGCTGTTATTATATCCGTTACTTTTTAGTTATACAAGACACCTTATAAAATTGCTCTTTTTTAAAATACTACTACGCCATATATATAACTTTATTCGTGGGAATGACAAATTAAACTTGTCATTGTTCGATATAGGAACGTCGATTTGCAGCACTGCCATTTCTATTTTCATTCACACGACTTCGCGGGTTTGTGAAGTTAGAAACATCGTTCTCTAGTTGCGAGTTATAAAAAAAAGTTGTTTGCTGCAAGCTATTCATACTCACCGAACTATCACGAGAAATTGGAAACCGATTTAAAGGCAAACTAGAAATACGCCCAGTAAGAGGACTACTCCGATTTGTTAATCTATTTAGACTAGGGCTACGTGATGTTGGTAAATATTTTGAGCGCATGCTATTGTCAATATATCCCATTGAAAGACCATCAAACTCTATAAGTTCTTGCTGGTGCTTGTTTTGCAAATCTAATAAGCGTTTTTGCCGATTAGATTGAAGTTTAATTATGTCCTCGTGAATCTAAAAGATAAATAAATAGAAATAAATCAAAAATAATAATAATAATGATAAGACGAAAACTTTACATTAAATAAGTGTACCATACCTTATCTTCGAGAACACTTTTATGAAGTTTAATATTGTTATTTAACTCTTGCAATTCTTTATCAATGTGATTTTTCAAATGTGTAGACTGTCTCGTTTGATAATTAACTAGTATGTCTTGTTCTTGTTTCAGCTGAACGCGTAACGCATTTAGTTCATTTAACTGCTTTTCATCTGAACAAAGCTACACGCAAAAAAATAATAATTTGCAAAAACACGTTCTTCTTGCAAATTAAAGTTTAATATCATTATCTTCTTTTATCCCAATGTTAATCAAAATCTTATTTATAAATAAAGAAAGAAAAATAAGAAATAAAGTATCAATTTATTGTAATGTAATAAAATGTTTTTGAATGGCCTTACCTCCCTAGAAAAATTACTATACAAACGATGCGCGTTGGTACGTTGTTTATATTATTTATTATACTACTTATACTATTTGTAAACCATACTATTTAGTTCACTACATTTTTGTGATTTTGTTGTCACATAGCCTCTGCTTATTACATTCATACGTTCTACTTCTCTTTTTCAATTTAAACAAAAAGCCTAATGATTATTTTATTTTTAATTAAAGCTGCAATTAAAGAGATCGATTCTCCAGAACAGAAGCTGAAACAGGAATCAAAGAATGCCATTCTTTATTTTAATAACAGGACGTTTAACAACTGTTCCATCAGCTCCCCAGCCCTGGGTAAAACCCAAAACTTGTTAAGCCGGGTAAATCTTTTTTTAATGTAAAAACCTGAAAATTGTTGACATTTTCTGATTCAAAGTGCCATAGAATGTTTATAAAAAGTTCTAAAGTGTCACAAAATTGTCATGAACATGAAATCAGGGATGAAATCGGCTCTAAAATACTCCAGTAAAATATTTGTTGTTTTTATTTTAATTCCTTTGTCTTAAAGCACTAAAAATTTTTCAGGACTTCTGAATTTTTATTTTAATATATATTTTTTTAATGTTTAACCTTAATGGTTCCACACTTGTGGTTGTGACAAGGTTCCATAATGCCATTTTTTTGATTAAATATGACATTATGGAAAAGTTGAAGCAACCTTTTATAACCGGATGCACTTTTAATGCCAATTAACCTGTTTTGTATATCAGGACTTATGATTTTTGTGATACTACCGCTAGAAATTCAATGCTCCTACCAAAACCCTCAATTAAACTAGGGTTTAGAAGGATAATTCAATGCTCCTACCCAAACCCTCAATTAAACTAGGGTTTAGAAGGATAATTCAATGCTCCTTCTACCCAAACCCTCAATTAAACTAGGGTTTAGAAGGGTAATTCAATGCTCCTTCTACCCAAACCCTCAATTAAACTAGGGTTTAGAGAGAGTTTTCTTAGAAAAGTTACCTTTACCATGTAATATATTTGTTTAAATAAAAAACATAAACACAAAAAAAAAAGACACACAAGGAACTGCAATTAATAAGAGAAACTATATAAGATTGTAAGTATTGAAGCAATTATCTAAGAGCATAAGCGCACAGAAACATTCAAATGACAATGATTATAAATTATACAAGTTTCACTCCCTCCTCAATAATCTCTAAAATTGATTTACTACATTTAATCATCTCTGGGTTTAACTCCAATAGGCCCATCCAAACAAGAATGAGATTGCTTTTTCTACACTAATTGTAACTAACAAAAAAAAAAGTTATTTATCTCAAAATAGATAATACTATACTTAACAAATGATATAAGCGTTGCACTGATAAAAACAAAATCAATCATAAAAGAATTGGCCTAGACAATGATGAAAATGATGTTTTCATTAGTTATGTAAAATTCTTGTGCTAAATATTTTGAAACTAAATGTTAAAATAATTTGCACAAGGATACTATATTATATTTAATTATGCATAGATTTACTTACTGCATAATTAATACTTTAGGTTTTATGCATGTAACAATGATCAGGTAAAAAAGTGAAAAAAAAAAGTGGTTGAAAAAGGTTTTTCTCTCCATTTAATGAAAAAAAGTGAGGTTGCCCATTTTTTTGATGTTGTGCATTTTTTTGTGCATAATATAACTTACTCAGATATTTAAGTTGAACAGCCTTTTTAAAATATACAAAAATTAAAAATGTTTAAATTTTTAAAAAGCCAACAAATATTAAACAAACTATCATTAAAAGCCTGAAATACAAATTATCAATAGTGGTAAACTATTTTATTTTGTGTCAAAAACTATTTATTACCCATGATATATTTTAAAATCAAAAATTTAAATAGAAAATTTAAATAAAAAATAATTTAAATAGAAAATAACAAAATTTAATTAGCAAATATCATGTTTTACTTTTTGTTTTTGAAGTAAATCCGTAATACTTTGCTCATACTGTGTTCCAAGATCAGCAAACTTTCTTAATCGGTCTTCTTTGAATTTATTGATAATAGCTTGATGATTTTCTCTAGGAGCATTGGCTAGTGTTTGCTTTTGCAAAACTTTAAATTGGTTCTCTTGGATCTTGCATGTTTCACGAAATTGCTTTTTTACACGTTCTTCTTGAGCCTGAAAATTTCAGTAGCACCAAAAAATATTAGTAATAAATATCAATACAATTTGACATATATTAGAAAAATAATTTCACTTTTTTTCTTGCTAAATCTCACCTTTAGATGTTTTGGTCGTTGCCTAAGTTCTAATAGGTGTTTTTTTTGTAAATCCATTTCTGCCTTTTTATTGTATTCCATTTGATTTTCCCATTCTGTGGTATGTAATCTCTTTAGCTGCTCATACCGCAAGTTGTGATTCTCCTTCATTTGGTTAAGTTTAAGTTCTTCAGTGCATTGACGATGATGCAACATCATCTGATGAGCTCTGTCTTTTTGAGACTGTAACTTGTTCAGCTCCTAAATCAATTGTAATAAAAGCAACAAGAATACTATTAAATATTCTTTATTTAATAGTATTCTTGTTAATAGTAACATAGCTCATATAAATATTTAATATACTTATAAATAAACTTAAATATCACAAATGTAAATTTGTTATATTTAATATACTTACTTTAAACTATTATTGTATCGTATTAAAATATAATATCAATATACTCACTTTAAATTAATTATATATCTATAAATTTTAATTTTAAAAAACAAATACAACGAAAAAAACCTCATAAAGATTCTCTTTTTCTTGTTTTTGTTGTTTCAGAAGTTGTTCTCTGCGAAATATTCTCAGCTGTTCTTCAAAATCATTAGCATGTTGAATTCTCAAATTTTGTTCTTGTGTTTTGTGGTGATGAAGGTATTGTTCTTTTAATTGATATGATGTCAATGATGCTCGCTTTAGCTGTTCATCCTAAACATCAGATCATTTAAGTAAGAATGAATGAATAAAATAAATATCTATCAACATATAAATTTGTTATAGACAAAACGGTTATAGAAAGAGCTGAGAAAATTTTTTGTAATTTTTCCTTCATAGTTCAGGATTAATTATAGATCTTACAAATACATTTTATTTATTTTTTTAAACCCATTTATTAAACTTTAAAATCAAAAATTGCAACTATTTTAATTTACAAAATTAGGTTTGGTGTCACTCATATAGTTAAAAATTAGTCATTGAAGTGACACCTTAATAAAGTAAAAAATAATTTAAAAAAAAACAAACACAGGTGTATTAATATATAACTATTATATAAGTGTTGAATGCTAAATGACCAAACATAAATTAATTTTAAAATAAAATGATGGAGATTTATGACAATAAAGATAGTAAACTAAAATAAAAAGGTAAAAAAAAAAAGTCATTAAATATTGAAAAAATAATATTAAAAAAAACAAGACTAGCAAAAAATGAAAGAATAAATGAATCAGATGACAAGAGAGAAAATGCATGGGATAACATAACATTTAATGAGATCAGAAACAATTTTAAAAACAAACAAAAAGGAGCAAGCATACATAAACAGATAAAAAATTATAAGCATATAATACATATAATATTAACCCTATATATAATATATAATATAATATAAGCATATATTACATATAATATTAACCCTATATTATATGTAACATATATTGATTAAACAACAATGAACAGTGACACATAAAAAGGAGCAACAACACAAATAACAACAAACATTATGCAAACAAAACTGCAAACTCAATCGGTAAATAAAAATAAAAAAAATTATATTTAACATTATTCATACACAAAATTACAACATATAAACAATACACAAAAATTTGTGATAATATAAACAATGTACTAAATTAATGAAAATTAAAAAATACTTTCTTTCAATTAAATTAATTTTTTTTGGTACAATTAATTTTTTTTGTAAAATTAATTTTTCTGGTAGAATTAATTTTTTTGGTAGAATTAATTTTTTTGGTAGAATTAATTTTTCTGGTAGAATTAATTTTTTTGGTAGAATTAATTTTTTTGGTAGAGTTAATTTTTTTGGTAGAATTAATTTTTTTGGTAGAATTAATTTTTTTGGTAGAATTAATTTTTCTGGTAGAGTTAATTTTTTTGGTAGAGTTATTATTGGTAATTTGAATTCTAAGATAACAATTTCCTAAAGCTGTAAGAAGGTCAACCATTTTTAAATCAATATTAATTTTTTTTTTATACTATATATTGTATAATTTCACAATATCATCAGCATATTTAAATTTTCTATCTATGTTATATATAATTTATATTATATAAACTTATATTATATATATATACACCCTAATCATGACATTAAACTGATCTTATATTGGGGTAAAGTAACTTACCAAGGAGAAAAAAACCTCTGATATACAATTAAAGGTAAAGGTACTTTCAGAGAAGACTACCATCCAAACCATAAATGGTAATCTTTCTAGTGGTATTATGGTAGTAATATTACAAAAAAGTATTGAATAATTAAATTACTTCTTTATAAATGTTAACACCTTTACGATGTTCATTTTATTCTAAAAATGACTAGTGATATCATATAGATTTTAACTACTTGTTTTTTGTTTGTTTAAATTAAATACTTCAAATTAGATACATGAAGTATATTTAACATAACAAAGCCTTATGTTAAAAGGCTTGAAGGGAATTGAATTTACTTATTTGTTTAGATTACAAAACATTTTTGACTTTTAAATACAGATAGTTGTGGCAGTATAACATCTAGCCTTACTTCAGGCACTGTATATTACATAGATGAGTTTTTAACTTTAAAGAAACCCAAGAAAATTTTTAAATAAAATTACTTACCTGTTTATATTATAAAACATATTATATATTAGAGTTTTAAATATAGATAGTTGTGAGTATAAGTAAATTATTGCAAAGCTTGTTTCTACAGCTTCGTTGTTATAATGTTTGCATTATTATCATTATTTTTTTTAAAGTTTGCATTATTTTTAATAACTTTGTTTTAGAAATGCTGTATAAACTTTTTACTTGCATTTTCTACAATTACAAGAATTTTCTACAAATACTCTACTTAAAAAAAAGTTTCCACAATTACAAGAATTTTCTACAAATACTCTACTTAAAAAAAACATTACTTTAAATAGTTATAACTTCTCAATAGTTATAAAAAGTTTTTAACAAAAAACTTTTGCAAACCTTTAAAATGGAATTTACATCAATTAACTTCTTAAAAAAAAGTTCTCAATATTCAAAATAATTATTTTGAACAAATCAAAATTCCATAACCATTAAAAGTTTAGTGCAAATATAGATCTATTTATGTGAAAACTTCAGTAATAAAAATAGTTGCTTACATGCAAATATTGCTGTTTTTAAAATTTTATATACTTTTATCAAAAATCAATTGCAAAAAAAATCCAGAAATTTCAGGAAATTGAAAAGACTTTTAAGTGAAATTCCAGAAGTTTCCCGAAGAAAATCGTCTATAATATTATGTTATGTTTATGTTTTAGTTATATACAAACTATAAGTTACAATTCCATAATTTAAACATCAAAATATTACTAAAATCATAAAAATCAACTGCATGTATATCTTGTGATTTAAAGTGAGTATTACACATTTAAAAAATATTGAAACCTTTTTAAGTTTTTGTTTAGCAACTTTGTAACTGGATTTAAGTTGACTTAAAAGAGAGCGCATTTCTCCTTCTTGCTTTTCCCTCAACTGTCGAATCAAAATTTTTTCATTGTTAAAACTTTCTTTTACCTAGGAAAATATTATTAAATACATTACTCAATACAAAAAGCAAGATAAAAACGTTCATTAAATTTGATTTAAAAAACCTACAATTTGCTCCAGTAGCAGTTTATTTTTTGCATTAATTTTTTCCATTTCCTTGTCAAACATGTGCATTTGACTTTCCAACTCTCTCTGTAAACATCTCTGATGTTCAGCAAAAACTTGCTGATGCTTCTGATCAAGTTGAATAACTTGTTTCTGGTGTTGCTGTCGCTCCCTAAAGTTGTAGACTTTTATTAATTTATCTTACTTCTAATTCTATCTTAAAATTTTAAAAATTAATTTCTCATTCATCTTTATGTTGTTAATGCACAGACAAAGTTTTGCTATACTACAACAATTACACTATAAAATTTAAAAATATAAAATTTAGTTTTGAAATCCAGATTTGTCAAAGAGAAAAAATGTGAATGTTTTATTTGTAAAAATGAATGCAAATCAAAAGTTTAAAAAATATTAGTTTTAAATAAATATTTGAATATGTGAAAGGAAAACCTTATGGTGTCTTATTTCTGGATTTTTAATTTTAAGTTAAACTTTTTATGTGAGGTGCATAATCATTCAAAAATAGTTATTGTAAAATTTTGAGACAATCAAACATTATTAAAAGATAACACAGTTAAAATTTTGAGACAAACATTATTAAAAGGTAGCACAGTTAAAATTTTGAGACAATCAAACATTATTAAAAGGTAGCACAGTTAAAATTTTGAGACAAACATTATTAAGGGGTAGCAAAGTTACATAATTTTGAGACAATCAAACATTATTAAGAGGTAGCACAGTTAATTGTAGTTTTCGTGTAGTTTTTCAACATTTTAAAAGTTTTCGCAGTCAGTTTTTAAAATTCTTTCAAGAAGTTTTAGTATGTTATTTTTCACTAAGTAAGGTAATACAGGTAAAAAAAAACTAGTCTAAAAGAACAATATTTAGGGGTCGCACAGGACAGAAATAAAATGTTACTAGAGTGCAAAAATGCCTAAAACAACGGAAAAAAGAAAATTATGTTATTTAAGTTTTCCTGATAAGAGACACCCGTTTGCAATGGTTATCGAAAATACAAAGTGCATATTGTAGCTGCTTTGGATCTTTGACTTTGTTTTTAAAATCTCAGACCAGCTTGACTCCTTGTTCATTAGCTACTTCTCAAAACTCTACTTTATTTTTAACGCAGTTATAGACATTTATCTTTCTCACCTTCATCTAATGTTTAACAGGTAGTGGCAACCAATCCACTTGATTAGGCTACATTTTGATTAAAGCAAACAGTAACCAGAAATCTGGCCCAATCAGCGACACAAAATTAGAAATTTTATCCAGTTTGATTTGTAAAAATATTGATTTTTTAAGCTTGATTTGTTTGTCTCTTTTGATGTTAAACAATATCAAAGCTGCGGCAGAATGTTCGATTTCAGAAATAGATTTATCAAACAAGATGAAGACAACTAACATCTTTGGTATTTAATTGTTAAGTTAAATACCAAAGATGTCTGTAACACGACTGCATACGGTGCAATATGCTGCAAAAGCAGCATACGCTGCTGTACTGTCAAATTTACGATACCACTACATGTCAATGATGCACTGGTAAACAAAAAGCTATCATGGAAATTCAACTTAACAAAAAAACTTTTGCTTGGAACAGCGCAATGAGATCCGTCATTCTCTTAAGCTTATGGCATTGGTCCTGGTTGAGACAATTAATTTGTTGATCTAACATTACGTATTTAAAGATGTATAGCTCATTGTGTATGAATCTTGCAATGATAAGTACCAGGCTTCTTAAACTGAAAAATCCTTTTATCTTGTAATTTTTGACCAAGATAAACAATTAACTGTTCAATAAGTTCCCAATAATCTTCTCTTGGAAATGTTCTTTTTTGTAGACAATTGCCCGACAAGCAGTACATAAAACTACACAACCGATCACCTTCTCTATTATAGCAGTACATCATGCATGTGTTGAAGCTAAAAGCAATCAAACCTTCAAGCAACTTCAATGATTTAAAATGGTTAATAAATTGATCTTTATAGACTATACCAGTAGCATTTGGGATTGCAGGAATCCTGAGAACTTAGGGATTTGATTCTTCAGTCAAACCATTCCTTCCACTCGAAAAAATGCCAACATGCTCCTCTGTCTTTCCTGTGAAAAATAAAAAAAAAAATAAAAGTTTTCATAAGATTATTGTACTATGTATTAAAGCAATGTGTGAATAATTTTAACATTAAGCAATGAAATAAGTTTGCTATTCTTCATGAATAAAGTGGATGGTTGCATTCATATTTATTTTTTAATTGATAAAACTGATTTTCTCATTTTTTCTTTTATTGACAATGAACATTGCATTTTGAAATAACAAACTGTTATAAGGGAGCACCAACAACTTTAACTATTTTTACTTCAATGGCCATTGTGTCTCACTGAGATGTAAGCCATCGGAAACTTCAATAAACAATTTAGACAATGTATTTGGATTCAACTAAGAAATAAGGGATGACTACCTTTTTTTTTCTTTTTCTTTTGGTGGCGTTGGTTAAAACTTGTCATCTTTTAAGCTTTTTATATTTTAGTCATCCTTGCTGATAATTTACTTCACTTGTAATTTCTTCACTTGTAATAATATCTTGTCTTTTTTTAGATAAAGTATCATGTGCTGCTCTTTGCTGTTCCAGAAGTTCAGTACAATAATAGACCCTTTCCTCTCTTTGGTGTAAAATAGTATTAGAACCAAGCATGTGGCCAACCTTAAAAAAAAACAGATCAAAAGTTTTACATATTGTATAACTCAAACAGAATAGAAAAGCTACATTTGTAATTTTGTTTACCTGTAGATATCTCTGCTGGTTTTGTAAGAACAACCACTCCTCATTCCAAAATGAAATTTAAGATCCTAGTAATAATTTGTAAGCTTTATATGCTAAAATAACACACAGTTGATTTATTGATGTCCTGAACATTTCAGGTGTCTTCTCTGTGCATCTTTATACTTTTCCATTCAACAAATACTTTTAAGAAACATTCCTGACATTTGCTATCTGGGTTGATTGTAGTTTTTGTTCTCCCCTAAATCTCATTAAGCTGGATTAAAAATCAAATATCTTCTTAAAAGAGCAACTTCTAATGGAAGTTTTGATTGATTTTTTCTTGTGTGTTAAGTTTTCCCCACTCTAAAATTTTCCTTTTTTTAACTAGTACACTTGAAAATTTGAATACAGTGCTACTACTAGTAGTGCTACTTCTGAATTGTATGATTACTTAAATATAAACTATGGTAAAAATTAGCAGTTAATAACATTACATAGCCATAATAGAGTAATAAGAAAAAAAATGTATGTCCTAGGGAAATTCCAAAAGAATTTTAAATGTTTTTAAAAATTTTTTTTTGGAAAATTTGATTTGTACAAATATATACTATCTTAACTTCAGCATATTAATTATCTTAAAAAAATATTAAGTTAAAGAATGAATTTCCGATCAGTGGTACATTTTTTTACTGAGTTAATATTTCTTTTAAATTCTTACTACACTTGCATTCTTGCTGACAGATCAATAAACTGCAGCCAGAATTTAAAGATTGACACTATATTGGCAAAATGAAAAAACTTAATACTGCGCAACCCCTAAAGATTTTTCTTTCAGCCCAGTTTTTTTTACTGCGCAATGGCTGCAGCAGTTAAAGTTTTTTTCTCCAATCAACTAAATTAAATAGTCACATGTTAAAAAACACATGTTAAAAAAAAAGTTACTTGTCTTAAACATCAAACTTCTTGGGTACTTTTCTAAATGTTGGGAAATGATTTATGATACATATGAACTGAAGAAAAAAAGTTTTATGATAACTGAACAAAAAAAGTTTTAGGAAATAAGTTATATATACATAAAAACTTTTCTATAATGTCATACCTGAATACAAAATGGCATTATGGAAACCTGCCCCAACCACACAAGTGTAGAGACTTTAAACTTTAAGTAACAATTAAAAAATGGGGAGCACAGGGATATGGTTATGATTCAACTCAATGCTTTTTACTTATGAAATAAGCTCCACTTTTCTACCACAATCACCAAATATTTCATAAATCAGCAGTGTATTTATTTCATAAATCAGTGGAATGTAAACCATCAATATTTACACTTTATAATATTACAAATTTCAGTAAAAAAACCGGGTAGAAAATAAAGGAGTAGATTAGTTATGTTGCATGCTCACACACGGTTGATAACATTTTTGAAACCTCTTATAATTGGGCAGTTAAGGAGTTGTAAAAATTTAGTTGTATCTTTTATACACCACTATAACATCTTTTATACACCACTATAACATCTTTTAAACAACATAGTTATATCTTTTAAACACTACCGCTATATCTTTTAAAAACTATGATTATATCTTTTAAACACTACCTCTATTTCTTTTAAAAACCATGGTTATATCTTTTAAACACAAAAATATATTCTAATGTTTATAAAAGTCTTTTAAAAAGCATATTTATTCTTTATTTTTATATGTTAATATTGACATGTCATGCTAATATTAACATTATTGTCATGTTATTAGAATAAAAAAATAATGTATTATGTAAATATTGACATACAAAGGCGATTGATTTTTAAAACATTTTAAAAATATTTATCAAAAGTTTGATTAATAAACTTTTGATAAATATTGTT